ATTGTGTGCCATTATATCGTAAGTGTTTTCTTTATTTGATCAATGGTTGAGGCTCAAGCCTTGTTCTTCTCATTTATCTAATTTTTTTATTTTAAATTAAAAAGTGAACTCTTCTCATTTACCTAATTTTTTATTTTAAATTAAAAAGTGAACACTTTGACAGCATAAGAAGTTGAGGACACTAGTTGTATAGATAGATATATATATTTATTTATTTCGGTGTAAAAGGGATACAAACACAACAACATCATTATTCATAGATTTGAGTAGAGATTTGTGGAGGAATTACTTAAATCATGATCCAAAACAGAAAAAGATAGTAATGGGTTGTAGAAACATACATACCATCAACCAAGCAGAGATGATGAGCAACTCTGCAAAGAAGAAATGGATATGAAGATCCCTAAACCAAACACCAGGAATTGCTTTTGTTACTTTTGTGAGATTTCAGCAAAAGCTTCACTCTATGAATGAATTAGGCTTCGTTTTTGGAGAAGAAAGACTTTGTAGACGACTTGGGTATTTTAGGAGGAAAAAGACAAGAAAAGGAAACGAAGGATAGTGATAATTAATTGGGTAGGTGGTTGTGGTAGGTGGTGGATGGCAGTATATTTATTGAAGTTGGTGGTTGTATTAAACGGAAATGACGAAGGTAAATGAAGATGGTGAAGATATCAATGAAGTTGTTGGTTGTTTTTAATTGATATAAAAGTTGTTGGTTGAATATAGATGATATAAATAATGAAGGTAAATGAAGGATGCCTAAGTTTTTCGTGAAATTGAAGAAATTTAACCAATAAAAAAATTTCAATAATATTAAATTATATGTGGTAAATTGCATAGATGCTAACAAAATGATATTTTAATTTTTGTTTGACTCCCCATATATATAATACTTGATAAATTTTGTGGCAATTTATTTGAAAATAACAATACAATAAATAGCAAATGATTTGTGACCGCAATTATTAAAAATATAAAAATATTTTAACTGAAAAATATTTTAAGAAACATAATTCGAACCAAATATACAATCAAAAGTTATTTGAAATCAGTAATTGAATATTTATTCTGAACTTCAAATTATTTTGTTTGTAATATTTTCAATTTTAAAAATTTTATGTTATTTTTTGTTAATATAATTAATTTTTTCACTTGAATTTTAAAAAGAGTTTGATTATGAGTGTTATTTTTTGTTAACAATTAATTTTTTGAATTGAATTTTAAAAAGAGTTTGATTATGAGTGTTGATCAGAATTTTCAATAGAGTTTTGAGTTGTGTGTTTAGTTATGAGTTATAATTTTTTGAATTAAGTTTTGAAAACTCTTTTTGAATTAAGTTTTGAAAACTCTTTTCAAAATTCATAGTTTTCAAAACTCATAACTAAACAAATTTTCTTATTTCACATGTCACATCAAATATTCAATACTCAACTCAAAATTCTTTTCAAAACTCATAACCAAATAAATTTTCTACACTCAAATTATAATTGTAAAACTCACAAATTCAAAATACAATTCTATTATCAAATCATATTTTTAAAACCCTATCAAACTCTACCATGATTTTCTCTTTTTATTATTTAGATGGTTGTAAAAAACAAAGAAAAAAGTGAAAGAAAAATATAAGTGAGATTTTTTTTTTTTTATATTTTAATGAATAATTTTGGTATTATAAAATATATATATACAGTCAATTGGCTGTTAAATTTTTTTGGACATATCTTTTGATCATATTTTTTTTAATATATATATTTTAAATATGTATACAAGGCTTCATATTAATTATATTACTGCTTTGTGTCCTAAAAAAAATCAAATCAACTCTGTCACCTTTAGTTAATTTCTCACCAAATCTCCTCTTTTGTTTTGTTTTTTTGTTTTTTTTTTCTTCCCGTTTTTGGTGAGAAATGAATATGACATTATTAGAGAGTTTTATTTCTCACAATTTTTTTAGAAAAAATTAGTGGAACATCTATCTCTAAAATTCATTACTTGTTGCTACATCAAAGTAGATAACAAGTTTCATATGCAAATGAAATTCGAAAAATTGGAACTTTAATTTTAAACTTCTGGTCTTCTATCTACACCAAAGTAGATACCAAGACACACAATCTGGTGTGCTTGCACCTCCCCCTTTAGGAATGGCTGGATATACCGCTCATGCGAACAGCCAGTGGCAGTGTTAGTAGTAAGATTTGGTGGCTTAACCTTTTAAAAATGGTATTAGACTCACTTACGCAATGTTTGGGAAGACAAGTTGAGGCTAAATTAGTCACGTTCGGACAGAAAAAAAAAAGCTAATTTAGCCAAACGAAGACAAAACAGAAATGAACATGTTGGGTTCAAACCCTTTTGGATAAATTTACCAAAATACCATGAAAAAGAGCAGAAGCTATTCTTGGCGTTTTTTTGACCCGGAAAAAGAAACCCCACCGTGTTTTCTCAGTGTGACTTTTCGCCGTACTGACCCACTGACCCTTCGTTTGACATAGAAGGATTTTGGGGTTTTTTTTTCCCCTAAAATAATCATAAAAAAATAAAATAAATTTTTTAGTTTAATAAAATAAAATATTATATTAAAATTATAATTATTTTATTTCTTTCTCATAAAATTTAAAATTTCTTTACTTATAAAATTTAAAATTTAATAAAATTAAAAAAAATAAAATTATTTCTTTTCTTTTCTTATAAAATTTTAAAAAATTTAAAAATTATAATTATTTTATTTTGTTTCTTATAAAATTGACAAAAGCGTAAATGAAAAATAAAAGAACCACGAAAATAAGTCTCCTCAAATAAACAAAAAAAACAAAAAAGAAATTTATAAACAGAAACTAGCATTTGCCACGTAATTTGGAAAAACATTAAACACATGAAAACCCATTATTCAAAAACAAAAACATAAAAAAAGAAATTAGCATTTGCCACGTAATTTACAACTAAATAAAACACATGAAATCTCATTTTTGAAATATAAATACAAATTAATGTATACAAAAAAGAAAAATTGACAATTTTGTAAATTTAAAAAAAAAGAACGATAAAATACGGCTCATCCAAAAAAAAAAAACATAAAAATAGAAATTAGCATTTGCCACATAATTTATAAATAAATAAAACACATGAAAACTCATTTGTCAAATATAAAAACAAATTAATGTATACAAATAAAAAATTACAAAAACGTAAATTAAAAAAAAACCGACAAAAATACGCCTCATCCAAAAAAAACAAACAAAAAAACAGAAATTAGTATTTGCCACGTAATTTACAAATAAATAAAACACATGAAAACCCATTTTTGAAATATAAAAACAAATTAATGTGGACAAATAAAAAAAATGACAAAAACGTAAATTAAAAAAAAAACTCCAAAAATACGCCTCGTTCAAAAATATTTAAAAAAAAAAACATAAAAACATAAATTACTATTCGCCACGTAATTTACAAATAAATAAAACACATAAAAACTCATTTTTGAAAAATAAAAAAAAATGTTATTGTATACCAATAAAAATAAATAAGACAAAAAACATAAATTAAAGAACAAGAACTAATTAATGTATAAAAAAAAAAAGAAAAATGATAAAAACATAATTTTTTTTTTTTTTAAAAAAAACGTCAAAATAAATAGGCCAAAAAAAAAAAAATAAAATAAAAAAAATAAAAAAAAAAAAAAATCAGTCCAAACGATCTGACGTGGAGGACCACCAGCAATGACTTGACAAAATAATTTCTATTGAAGGGTAGTTTGGTAATTTAACATGAAGACACCTCACAAAAAAATCAAAATGTCAAAAAAGTCAAAAAGTCCTTCCCAAATCAATCTTTTTAAACTCAGACTAAAATAACCAAAACACTTAAAAAGTCAAAAAATCAACCCACTTCCGAAACGGAAGCTTAGCCTTTAAAAGAGTATTGGGCATCATAAAAAGTGCTAGTTTTGCTTAAAATTTCCTGCAGCTATTTTTTCATAACGTTATATACTCGTCAGATGTATCAATGTTGTACAAGTACATTTTGATGAATAACCTAGTGGATAGATAGCTTTCTTCATTGACTCAATCATCGATCTCGTCTTGCTACAGGTTGAGAGAGAAAGGAATTTACTCAATGCTAAGTTGCTTGAATTCGAAAACCTACCCGTAATCCTTATGCAGTTCCACAAAATCCTTCTATTGCTACCCAAACTGCTTTTCCTGGGGCCACTCCAATTGTCTCTTCAATGACTGCTCAAAATAGCAACCCTCCTTCAGTTTCAAGTTTCAGTCAACTCGGTGCATCACTAAATATGGGGTTTGGAATGAGGCAAGATTTTCTCCCGACATCTGAATTTATATTTAGCTATCTTCTTGCTAATGATGGAAGCTGTTGATTTATAGGGCAGCTTTAGTGTTCTTATGTTGTTGCAAGGGTTATTCAAACTCTTGTTTCAAAGTCTACCCTTTGATTTTGTTAACTAGTTGGCCAAAAAAAAAAAAATAAAATAAAAAAAATAAAAAAATAAAAAAATCAGTCCAAACGATCTGACATGGAGGACCACCAGCAATGACTTGACAAAATAATTTCTATTGAAGGGTAGTTTGGTAATTTAACATGAAGACACCTCACAAAAAAACCAAAATGTCAAAAAAAAGTCAAAAAGTCCTTCCCAAATCAATCTTTTTAAGCCCACACTAAAATAACCAAAACACTTAAAAAGTCAAAAAATCAACCCACTTCCGAAACGGAAGCTTAGCCTTTAAAAGAGTATTGGGTATCATAAAAAGTGCTAGTTTTGCTTAAAATTTCCTGCAGCTATTTTTTCACACTAAGGATTCTCTAGAGTTTTTTTTTTCTAAAGTTTCCTAAAGTGGTGTGTTATTTAATGTTAAAAAATTGATGTGACTTGTCATTAAATCTCAATGTTGTACAAGTACATTTTGATGAATAACCTAGTGGATAGATAGCTTTCTTCATTGACTCAATCATCGATCTCGTCTTGCTACACGTTGAGAGAGAAAGGAATTTACTCAATGCTAAGTTGCTTGAATTCGAAAACCTACCCGTAATCCTTATGCAGTTCCACAAAATCCTTCTATTGCTACCCAAACTGCTTTTCCTGGGGCCACTCCAATTGTCTCTTCAATGACTGCTCAAAATAGCAACCCTCCTTCAGTTTCAAGTTTCAGTCAACTCGGTGCATCACTAAATATGGGGTTTGGAATGAGGCAAGATTTTCTCCCGACATCTGAATTTATATTTAGCTATCTTCTTGCTAATGATGGTATCTGTTGATTTATAGGGCAGCTTTAGTGTTCTTATGCTGTTGCAAGGGTTATTCAAAGTCTGCCCTTTGATTTTGTTAACTTAGTTGGGTTAATTCTTCAGGCCCGCTACTCCTACAAATAATGCTTTTGGTTCCACTCAAATTTCCAGTCAGACTACTAGTGTATTTGAAACCAAGAACTCGCCATTTGGAAGTTCAGGTAAGACTTGAAGCTTATAATGTTACACACTAGAATGCTTTATGTTTGTGCGCTGCCTATAACTCAGTCATGTGGTAGGTTCATTTGGGGGTCAACTTCGTAACCAGTCATTTGGAAGTTCCATTGCCCCCAACACTGCAAGCTTCAGCAACAGTGCCGTTAGTGCTGAACGAAACCCATTTTTTACTTCGGCAGTGTCACCACAAGTTCCAAGTTCAGCAAGTTTCCAGTCATCCATACCTCCGAATGGGCCTAACTCTGCCTCCACTGCAGTTGAACAATTATCTGTGAATGTGGACACAATGCAAGTTCTTGGATTTTTTTTTTTTCTCAACCAAAAAAATAAAAATAAATCAGTTACGAAGTTTTGGATTGGAAGTACATAACAATTAAAATCCGTATTCTATTTAAAGAACTAAACCAGAAGAAGGCCAGCAATCCCTAGTTCCCTCTATTTGGGTTTGGCTTTACTGACTTAAAGATCCATTTATATTAAAATTGTTTTACTAACTATTATCATCCTGGACCCAACCTTAAATTGGGTTCAAAATTTTGATGTGGCTGAAAATGATCCCATCATAAAGCTTAATTGATGTAAACCTACCTTTTGCTCATGTAGTGTAAGATCATGAAAAGGAGCTTGTTATATCTTTTTGTATTTTATGATAAAAGATGATGTGAACCCTTTCTATGGGAAAACTTGGGGATCCCGAATTACACTGGTTGGTCAGCTTCGAGTTAGTTTTTCACTATTTAGATTCATTTAGGACCAGATCCCGTCATAATCAGGCGCCATTGATTCATTTCTTACCGCCTTGACTCTGTATTTTTTATTCTGGTGTCTCTATTCTTGTCATTTTTTGTATTTGTGTTCTTTGGATACGATCCTAGATCTGATCTATAATTTGTAGGATTTTTTTCTTCAAAACTGTGAACAATTTATTATATGCTTGTTATTAACTTTGGTTATTTTCCCATCCTGCAGTGATAATATGACAAGGAAGAATGGTGCAGTGGATGATGCCATCTGGTTGAAAGAGGAATGGAATATCATTTGACATTTATATTGAGTGTTCATTCTTAATTTTCCTTTAGCATTATTATTATTATTATTTGAAAAATTCTTTTTTTGAGTTTTTCCCATGGATCCTATCAAAAGTCAAAAGACCTTCATGGCAATAATAAGGTGCCGTTTGGTAACACTTACGTTTTCAGTTTTCTGTTTATATTTACAAAAAATTTAAAAACTCAAATAAAAACTTGTTTGGTAAAAAAACATTTTGTCAATTACCAAACGCGTTTGTAGTTTATGTTTTTCTAAAAATAAACAAAAAATAATCAAAAACCAGTTTATAAAATTTTTGTAAATATAAACTGAAAACGTAAACGTTACCAAACACACCCTAAGTGTTTGCACATTGTTTTATTCAAGATCCATTTTGAATCATTACTATTAATGTTTTGGAAACTCGTACATTATGCATTACTTGTTTATTTTTTTTTCTACTTTCAGATTCCGGAAGAAGCACCTCCGGACAAATATACATTCTAGGGTTATTTTAGAATTAGGCATGCAAATGGTTGAAATATGGACACATTCGGATCGGTAATCACTGTCAGCAGAAATCTAACCTTGGCTTCATGGGGGGTGGCTAATTTTCAAAAGAAGATGGTGACCATGTTGTGCAGATTGCCGACTGGTTTTGACGTTCCACTGGGAGTATAAATTAAATTCAATCCAAGGAGGTAATTCTAATGCCTTTTGGTAATTGGATTATGTTGGTGAGAAGGAATGAGATTTGAATGTGTTACATGGTGCTAAAGTCGTGAGATGTTGATTGTAATCTTTGATCCGCAATCTCTGGTCTGTCTTGTACTGATTTATGAAGCACAGATACTTCAAAAAGGGTGACGTATCCGTATCAGATACTTATCAGATACCGATACTCCTCGAATACTCGCGGATACGTATCGGATACTTCTTAAAAGTATTAGATACTTCTTAATTAATTTTTTATTAATTTTGAAGTATCGAATACTTAATTTTGAAGTATCGGATACTCAAAGTTATATATTACTTATAATATTTTGTTTAGTTCTTTGATAAGAGGAATATAGTGAGAGTTCAAGTAATAGAATTTATCAAATTGATGTATCCTTGTTGTCTCTCTCACTTCTCTCTCACTCTCTCACGTTTCTTCTCTCTGCTCTCATTCTTTTTTTGGTGTTGGCATGTAAGGATGATGTTTAATTTGCATTTGCATTTGCTTTTGCTTTTGCTTTTAGTTTTGGATGTTTTATGAATGTTTGAGCACTTTTAGGTTAATAGGAATCTCTCTCCTTATTTATTAATTTACTTTAAGTTTTATTTTCATGCATATTACATTATTAAAATTATATATAAAAAAAAATTTATGAATGTATCTCCGCTGTACCCGTATCGTACTTTTTCAAATTTTGACATATCGCCATATCCACATCCCCATATCACCATATTCGTATCCGTGCTTCCTAGGCTATCATTGATGACTTAAAAAGTATATTTGCTGAAATTTTTATTTAAGAATGGTTTTTTGGCTTTAGTTAAGGTCTTGTGATATTCAATGATGAAGGGGAACAAGTTGAAACTATTGACCTTGAAAATTCTTAGATTTATAGGAATCTTTCTTCTTTATCAAGTTATCTTTTGCTTTAAGTTTTATTTTTATGCATACTGCATTACTAAAAATTGTTAAAATCATATTTTTTACGAACGTATTCCCGCCGTATCCATATCTCATATCCGTATCCGTGCTTCCTAGGTACTGATATACGAGTGCTCATTCTTGTTCACATGTTAAATTGCTTGCTCTTCACTTGTGTGTATGAATGTTTTGATTTCAAACATGCAATCAAAGCAGAAAATAAATTATGTGTTCTAACTTTACGGCCTATTTGATAATTAAAATACATGTGTTGCGGCATATTGAGAATATAAATAATATTAATTATTTATCTTTTTCCCTCAATAATTGATTATAGTCCTTGAATTATTAATTTTGGTGTCAAGGAGAATCGTACATTAAGGGAGTTTAAAAACTGACAAAATACTTGTGGTCCTTATTGCAAGACACAGTGCCGTAGGATTTGTGGGCAAAAAACTCGTTAAAAATTCTCAACGGACAGCAGCAACTCATATATCTGATTGAAACGAAGGTCATCATGACTCGTGAATCATGAGTAGTACTACTCAACTCAATTCATCCATGTTATATTCAGTAGGTATGTGCCACCCTGGATAGCACTTTTTAGTGAGATGCCGAAGTCCTACCTAATTTTCTTGCTCACAATCAATCCAAATTTGGGGCCCACAAACCCATTGCACGGTACTCTGACCCCTTGCGGCATGGCGGAGGCGACGGAGGCGGAGGCGCGGCGATCGGCGACGGATCGGAGACGGCGGCGACCCCTCTCCCTCTCCCTCTCCCTCTTTCTCTCCCTCTCCCTCTCTCTCTTCCTCCGCTTCCTCTGCGTCGAAAATGGCAGAAAAAAAAAAAAAAAAAATTCGAGCCACATTCGAGCCAAGCCATTTCGGGCCCTCAATCATTTTTCGCACTTTTAGTGAGCAGCGCTGCTTGAGGGCCCTAAATTTCGGGGCTCGAATGCCCCGAAATTTCACTTTTGGTAAAAAAAAAAAAGGAAAAAAGAAAGAAAAAAAGAAAACAATTTCCAAAAATGGAAATTAGGGGCATTAGGGGCAAATTTTTTAGGGCCACCAATCATTTTCCTTTAGCGAGATGCCGAAGTCCTACCTAATTTTCTTGCTCACAATCAATCCAAATTTGGGGCCCACAAACCCATTGCACGGTACTCTGACCCCTTGCAAGTTTGGATTTTTCTATTTCCTCATACCAGAAAAACCCAAAAACAAAATCAATCACTTTGTTTAGTTTCTATTTTTTAAATTTACTTTTCAAAAAATTTGTACCTTTCGTTTTTCGTATTTTTTTATTCACTTATTTTTTTTACTATTTTAAGTAGTTTTTTAAATATTTAGATACAATTCACATATATATATTTAAAAAGTATAATATTTGTAAAAAAAATTTTAAAAAAAATTCACTAAATATTAAAAGTATAAAAAAAAATTACGAAAATTCAGTATATTTTTCATATTTTTGTATATTTAGCAATTTTTTAACATATTTTTTCAGAAATATTTTATTATTTTGATATATCTAAGTAAGGTGTATCTAAAAAAAAATTGCATAAAATTTTAAAAATATTCACTAAAAACAATTAAAAAAAGCACACACAAAAAAAAAAAACCTCAAATTTCAAAAAATTAAAATTAAACACACTGAATATTTTTATTTATATTTTTTGGAATGGGTTGCAGGGATCAACATTTCAAAATGTAAGTGTTCGATTCAAATTATGTTTGAAAATCAAACCATGTGAGTTTCCGAACTCCCTTTTCCTTGTCCTACTTGAAGGTCTTTACTTGTTTGCTTAAATATGTTGTAGGGTGCTTGGCATATGTGGTCTCTAGAGAGAGTATAAAATACAAATCTCATGTTTTATGCAAAGTTTTTTTGCTCTACATTTGAATGTTAGATTTCTGTAGTGAAAGGAAAAAGAAAGAAAAAAAAATGAAGTGAAAAAATAACTAAATTCCTTTGCTTTGTTTGGTTGGATTAGAAAAAATAAAAAATGAAAATGAAAAGGCATTTTTTCAAAAAATAAAAATAAAAAATCCATTGGTTTTGTTTGATTAACAACAGAAAAAGGAATATACACAGGCGATTTGATCATTTTTATTTCATTTTTTGTTCTTTGACAAATCCAAAATCTAAAATAATATTAAGAAAATATAACATAGAGTATATTCCATAGATTAATCTATGCTATAATGAATTTCTTAGAGCAATTTTAGTGGCATGCTACAACCATTGTCAAAACTAAACTATAACAAGACTTCTCAAAAACTTTACCCTAAACTCTGTGCCAAGTTTATGCAAATTATAGCATTGTCAAATTTGGCACAATAATTAGTGATTGTCAAAATTTAGTATTATTGAGGTAATTAATATTGTCAAATTATAATTTTTTTTTTCTTTTTTCTAAAATGTTGCAGAATGGCAAATTGACAAAACTACTAGAGATGCTTATAGGGGAATTTTTATTTTTATTTTTTTAAAAAACCCACAAAATTTGTATGACTGTGAGTGAGGGGTCCCTTCCATACTGGAACACCAAACTTATAGGTAGAATGTATATGATACATTCAAGGCGGCCTCCTCCCCATTGTTGGATGGAGTGTGCTTGTAGAATTGTACCCTAATAATGTGCCTGTTTGGCAGAAATTATTTACAACTTATTTCAGCTTTCAGCTTAATTTAAGTTATTTTGATGTGTTTGGTTTAGCTTATAGCTTATAGCTTTGTAGAAGTCAAAAATCAACTTATTCTTTGAGTGGGGCATGAGATGCTTTAAGAATAAGCTGGAAATCAGCTTAAGCTGAAAGTTATAAGTTATAAGCTGTTTAGGTATAAACTATAAGCACTTTCGGTATAAACTATAAAAACTTTTCCACAACTCTACCAAACATGTGTGTGTCTTGGTAGGTATAAGGTCAAAGCTAACCTTCAGTTCACCTAAGATGAGGGTGAAGTAAGACCAGCTAATGGGGGAAAGGAAGGGTGAGAACCTTGCTCTGGAATGAATTGTGAGGTAAAAGAATTGTTCAATAGTTTTTTTTCTTCTTCTTGACAATGTGGTTAATTAGGTTGATCCATAATGAATTTCTTAGAGCAATTTTGGCATTCAATAACAATTGCCAAAATCAAATTACAGTAAAACTTTTCAAAAAAAATCATTCAAGTTATCTCTGATTGACAAAATTAGTACAAGAAATTGACAATAGTCAAAATGAATCAAGATTATTTCTCAATCTCTTTTATAATGAAATCTACAAATGACATTTTTATTTGATATTGGGGTGTTAGGCAAGTTGGATTTTTGTTTTTTGTTTTTTGACTAAAATTCACAAAAAAGATAAAATAGGTTAAAATAATTAATAAGACAAAATGTCACATTAAATCTATAATCATTTTATTTTTTCTCTTACAAATATTACATCTAATTATAAAAAAATTCAACTATCTTTTTAAACATAAAAAATTTAATCTACTAAAATAGTTAAAAATTAAAATAACCTATTAAAATAATAACTTTCTAAACACCCATATTGTGTTAGAAAAAACAAATTATATGATTGGATAATCTTATCAAATTATAGCATTTTTTTGGGGGGGATAATGTAGCATTTTAGAATTTTAAAATTATTAGAGATGATGCAATTATTTTAAAAATAATACTGTTACATGTATCAATTAATTTATTAATTAGTATATCAACATTAGTTATGATATTATTATTGATCTCACTCATTAATCATATTATAAATATCAAAAATCTTTTAAATTATGTCACGTCATCAATTGATACACTAATTAATACACTAATTGATACATATAGCATTATTTATTCAATTAATACCAACGTTTGCGGAGAAATAACTTGAGAGTGTTAAGTCACATCACAGGTTTCGAGTTGACTCTCCTCATGCCAGACGCCCAAGCAGAAGTAGAGTCCCGCTTGGTAGCTCGAATTTACCGTCCCCCGAATGGCTCGAGTCGTTTTGGCACCTCTTTTTTTTTTCCTTCTTTTTTTCCTTCTTCCTTTCCCTCTCTTCCGTCCTCTTCTTCCTCTGTTCTGAATCCAAACTCTGTTCTGAATCCAAACTCAAATCAAAATCAAGATAATTGTTTTTTTCTTTTTCTTTCCCCATCTCTTCTTTCTCTTCTTCATTTCCCCTCTCTTTTTCCTTCCTCTTCTGGCCGGCCAACAGATTCAGAAGAAAAGCAAAGAGAAAGAACAGATGAACTTCTCTGGCTTCGCTGGCTCCTTGCTGATATGGGTGTTTCTTCATCTGCTCCTACCCCTCTCTATTGTGACAATCATAGTGCCATTCAGATTGCTCACAATGATGTTTTTCATGATCGCACCAAACATATTGAGATTGATTGTCATTTTATTCGC